ACGACTTCTCGCGCTACACCACGGTCTTCCCCTTGCGCGCCAAGGGTGACGTCCCTGATGTCTTGATCCCTTGGATCCGCAGATCTCGTCTCCAGCTCCGTGAGCGTTTCCGCTCCGACTTCCCTGTCCTGCGTCTGCACTCTGACAGAGGTGGGGAGTTTTCCTCTGGCCTATTGGAGGCCTTCTGTCAGTAGGAGGGCATTGAGCAGTCGTTCATGCTTCCGGCCTCTCCACAGCAGAATGGGGTTGCTGAGCGCCGCATTGGTCTGGTCATGGAGGTCGCTCGTACCTCCTTGAGCCATGCGGCTGCCCCCCATTTTCTGTGGCCGTTTGCAGTCCGATACGCTGCGCATCAGCTCAACCTCTGGCCCCGTGTCTCCTTGCCCGAGACTTCTCCGACACTGCGTTGGACGGGAGAGGCTGGCGATGCGTCGCGTTTTCGGGTCTGGGGATCCCGAGCTTTTGTCCGCGACACGTCCGCGGACAAGCTCTCCCGTCGCGCTGTCCCCTGCGTCTTCCTTGGCTTTGTCCCGGACGCCCCTGGCTGGCAGTTCTACCACCCCACCTCGCGTCGTGTCCTGGCCTCTCAGGACGTCACTTTTGACGAGTCCGTCCCCTACTACCGCCTCTTCCCCTACCGCACTGCCCCGCTCCCCCCCCCGCCTCTCTTCCTCGCTCCAGGTGCTGAGGTACCAGACCCCCTCCCCCCTCAGGGTGCCGCTCCCTCAGGTGTGTCCCAGGTAGACCCGGGTGAGCCTGTCGAGGTAGCTGTTGACTCTCGTCCTGCTAGGGGTGCTGAGCCTGGGGGTGCTGCGTCTGGGGGTGCTGAGCCTGGGGGTGCTGCGTCTGGGGGTGCTGAGCCTGGGAGTGCTGAGTCTGGGGGTGCGGAGCCTGGGGGTGCTGAGCCAGGAGGTGCGGAGCCTGGAGGTGCGGAGCCTAGAGGTGCTGAGTCTGGGGGTGCTGAGTCTGGGGGTGCTGAGCCTGAGCGTGCTACACCTGGAGGAGCCCTCTCCTCCCAGCAGCTGCAGGAGAGGTACCTCGAGTACTGCCGCCTCCGGAGAGGTACTGCTGGAGCTCGTCCCGGTACTTCCCCTCCTACCCAGGAGCTCCCCCCCATTCAGCAGATCCGCGAGTGGTACACACGGCGCTGCAGTCTTCGGAGTGGTGCTCCTGGTGCTGCGGACCCTGGGAGTGGCGCTGCTGCTGGTGCTGAGGACCCGGACGTGGGAGCTGCTGCTGGTGCTGCGGACCCGCCTGGTGGAGCTGCTGCTGGTGCTGAGGACTCGGACGTTGGAGCTGCTGCTGGTGCTGCGGACCCGGACGGTGGAGCTGCTGCTGGTGCTGAGGACTCGGACGGTGGAGCTGCTGCTGGAGCTGAGGACCCGAGCGGTGGCACTGCTGCTGCTGCTGAGGACCCGGGCGTTGGAGCTACTACTGGTGCTGAGGACCCGGCCGGTGGAGCTGCTGCTGGTGCTGTGGACCCGGACGCTGGAGCTCCTACTGGTACTGCGGACCCGGCCGCTGGAGTCTCTTCCGGAGACGCTGCGCGGCCGCGACCGTACTTCGTACCACTTCTTCAGCAGGTTCTTGGGCAGGCTCCTCCTCCTTGTCCTCCTCCCTCCGTAGAGTGTCCTCCGCCTGTCCGGCCGCAGTCACAGTTACCACCTACCTCGCCTCTCCCTGCTCCCTCTCCTTACACTGGTCCCACAGGAGGTCTTACAGAGCGTCGTGAGCCTGAGTCTCGTCCTGCGTCGCCTGTTCGTCCTGCTCGCACTGGTAGTCGTGTCCGTCGTGAGCGTCCTCCTCCTGTCCCAGGCACTCACTACATGACTCTGCGTCCCTCTACTGCTCCTCAGCGTGTCCCTCTACCGTCTCCTCCTGCGTCCTCTTTGCCTGACGTTCCGGACCCTGAGTCTGACCGGTATCGTGCTGAGCACCCTACTGTCACGCGTCTCCTTGCTACTGTTATCACTGACCCTACCTTTGAGTCCTCGGCTGCGTCTGCTCTGGTCGCTGAGTTGGTTGACTTTGCTGCTGCCTGTCGTCTAGACTACGCTGCTAGCCTTGTTGCTGAGTCTGAGTCTGTCTGTCCTCCGTCCGTCGGGGGTGAGTGTGCTCTTGGCACGGACATCCTTGAGGACAGACAGGAGGAGTTCCAGTGTCTTGCTGCTGCTTTGCCCCGTCTCGTGTCCTTGCTAGTTGCCCCTGAGGGAGACCCGGATGCACCAGACATCCCGACCCCGCGCACTTACGCTGAGGCGATGGCGGGTCCCTACTCCTCTCAGTGGCAGACAGCCATGGACGCCGAGATGGCCTCCTGGAAGTCCACACGCACCTACGTAGACGAGGTTCCCCCTCCTGGGGCGAACATCGTCAGTGGCATGTGGATTTTCAGGGTGAAGCGGCCGCCAGGTTCTCCGCCTGTCTTCAAGGCGCGTTACGTGGCTCGAGGCTTCAGTCAGCGAGAGGGAGTTGACTTCTTCCAGACCTTCTCCCCCACCCCGAAGATGACTACTCTTCGGGTGCTGCTGCACATAGCCGCTCACCGCGACTACGAGCTTCACTCACTTGACTTCAGCACTGCTTTCTTGCAGGGCAGCCTGCACGAGGAGATCTGGCTGCGCCGCCCACCTGGCTTCACTGGGTCGTTTCCTCCTGGTACCCAGTGGAGGCTTCAGCGGCCGGTCTACGGTCTCCGCCAGGCTCCGCGTGAGTGGCACGACACACTGAGGACTACACTTGCGGCTCTTGGGTTCGCGCCTTCTACAGCTGACCCGTCGCTGTTCCTGCGCACCGACACTTCGCTGCCGCCGTTCTACATCCTCGTGTACGTCGACGACTTGGTCTTTGCCACTGCTGACACTGCAGGACTCGCCTACGTGAAGTCGGAGCTGCAGAGGAGACACACGTGCACAGACCTGGGTGAGCTGACAAGCTATCTTGGCTTGCGGATCACCCGGGACAGAGCACGGCGCACCATCACCCTGACTTAGTCACACATGGTGCAGCAGGTTCTCCAGCGCTTCCGCTTCACGTACTCCTCGCCTCAGTCCACTCCTCTGCCTACCGGTCACTCGCTCTCAGCTCTGCCTTCGGATGAGTCCGTAGAGCCGAGTGGCCCGTATCCAGAGCTTGTGGGCTGCCTCATGTACCTGATGACCTGCACTCGACCTGACCTTGCATACCCTCTTAGCATCCTTGCACGCTATGTCGCTCCTGGCCGTCACAGGAAGGAGCACATGGATGCCGCTAAGAGGGTGTTGCGCTACTTGTGCAGTACGTCGGGCATGGGGCTTGTGCTTGGAGGGCGAGACCGAGTTGTTCTCACAGGGCACTCAGACGCTTCTTGGGCAGACGACCAGGCCACTCAGCGGTCGTCTCAGGGTTACACCTTCAGCCTTGGCTCTGGCTCAGTTTCTTGGCGCTCTACACGCTCTTCTTCTGTTCTCGGCTCCAGTTGCGAGGCTGAGATCTACGCTACAGCCATGGCTGCCCAGGAGCTACGCTGGCTGACCTACCTGCTGACCGACCTCGGAGAGCGGCCTCGTTCTCCTCCAGTACTGTACGTCGACAACCAGGCAGCCATTGCCCTGTGTGAGGAGCACAGACTGGAGCACAGAACGAAGCACATCGCCCTGCGGTACTTCCTTGCTCGTGAGCTGCAGCAGCGCGGTCAGCTTTGTATTCGCTACGTGGCCACTGAGGCCAACACTGCTGATGTGTTCACCAAGGCGCTTCAGCCTCGTGACCATCAGCGCTTCTGCACTCTACTAGGCCTTGTGCCTACTGGACCTCACTTGCTTACCTCTTGACTTTGCTTGTACTGTGATCACTATATATATCTATACCTGCATGTTTCCTCTTGCTAGGTTGTGATCACTGTATCTCTTGCTCTGTTATAAACTTGCATGTGAACTGGTCTTGTGACCACTAGCTTGTGCTCGGAATTTGTGTGGAATCCTTGAGGTCCACCCTGAGCTTGTTGTTGCCTTGTTTTGCCTTGACTGGTCTTGTGACCCCTAGGACTCCCCCACTTTGCCTATGGGGGTGTGTCAAACATTATATATGTTGTATTTGTGTAGGCTGTAGTGGGTTAGCCTATAGGGGGGTCACAACATTAGGGTTTCATATTTGTACTCCCAATCCTTGCTAGTCCATCATTCCAGTCCGTTATTTCTGACAGGCTCGGCAGAATTCTACAAAGTGTGAAATGTTAGAAACACATAGTGAGCGCTTCTTTAGTATCGAGCACTACAACGTAAGCGAACGAACGACAGTGAAGCAACAAGCGAGTCAACCAAAGCGGTTGACACAAAGCAGCAGCAAGAGGTTAAATGAAGGTCAAAGGTCAGCGATCTTTGACTCGCCGAAAGCAGCGCAACAGCAATGACACATAACTGACTCGTTATTGAGCAGTTACCCGAGTCGTCGCTTTATCGAACCGCAACAGCACTTACAACAGCAGTTAGTTAAAACTTTCATATTCATTTGTAATCATATAAAAACCTTGTATTACCTTGCTATAATCAACTTATCTTGTCCTCACACACCAACACAAGGTGGTTCAACCAGTCTTCATTAAAGACGCTTCCGCCAAATTCATCATCCTAAGTCTTAGTCTTGAAGCGATCCTGAAGGCATTTTTCAGCCCAACATGAAACAAGCAAATTTGTATACCAAATGACCATACCAATTCAATTATGTACTCCTACATTATATGACAAGTAGCTATAAATTATATTATAATTTATAAAAAAACTATTACATATTACCATATGTTGCTTCGCAACTAAGACGATTTCGCCGCCTCTTTTTTTTTTATTTTTTTTTTTTTAGTGTATGCTATAGGTGCCTTTATGAGCAGCAAGCAGTTTGTTGCATAATAGAATAAGCAACAGAATGTTTCCTTTACAAGGATAAACCCCGGGGCTTAGCATCAAACGCCCCTGCTAGTCAGAGCATGTGTGGTATCGTATGCCTGATCTCCTTTTAGATAGAGCATGGATACCATTTATGAGAAATTTATATTCCTGATTGTCGCACTACAGCGGGTACATCCGTAGAACCTCACTTCATATTATCTGGGCCCAATTTGGCAAGCATTGTGGGCATTTTGGGCATTATGGCCATTTTTAACGGGGCCCCAAAAAATGCCCCCTCGAAACAGCTGCGAAATCATACTGTAGCTGCAGTCAACCTTCGGAATAACAGGCCGGAGTGTTCGGCTGGCATTCCATTGCTCCAGATTAATGGCCTCAACCAAACATCCAACTTCGCTGAAACCGGAGAGCAGCTCCGCGCCAGGAGCGCAGATCACTGTACTGGCAGCCCGGGCTGCCCTTCAAACCAGTGGTCCCGTCGGATAAAAAAATCGAAAGGGGAAACTGTCGAGTTGTTTGTGATGGTGTGTTGGGGGAGTTTGTGTTTCCTGCTGGCAGGAGGAGGGGTCAGAAAGAGGCGGGATATGTTTTTTTCTGGGCAAGCAGTGATTGCCCCAAATCACTGATCCCCCGCATGGTGCGGGACCTCGAGGCCGCATGGTGCGGCATATCAGAAAATGGGCTCTTTGCTAGGGAAAACGGGGTCGTTGAAGATTCGGTGGGTTGAAAACGTCATCGGAAAAGGGGTGTTCGGTTGGCATTCCATTATTGTAAGGTTCGGCGTAGTCAGCTTATATCGAGCCTTGATAACCATTCACGCGCTTATCAGGGAAGGTTCCAGGGTGGTCGGTTCACTGTAGCCCATCCCCTTCACCCGTTTTTTTATGCCTGCCAAACTGGGCCTTGGTTCTGCCCACATTACCGAATCGCCCCCGCACCTTTCGGCACCTTTCCGAACCACTTTCAACACGAGGCCCTGGTGCAGTTCGACCTCGCCTATTTTGACCTCGTTACTCGGTAGTACCATACATTTGTTATGTTTCACACGTGGATTTCGGTGTCCCGTTAAAACCCGCAGCCTGAATTACAAAAAGTGTTTTGAGGTGTTAATACTTTCCCTCCCGAACCTGGGTGGTTACCAAGTGTCCAACCAGTAAACGTGAGGAAGTCGCACGCAACACAGGTAAGGATCGCAAGGGTGCCTGGCAACGAGTTTGGCTGTGGGTGTGCACACCTAGCCAAGAAATTTGTAATTCAGGTCGACAGAAATCGGGGAGTCCTAGCCTACTATTAGCCTAGCGCTCTGCTTAGATCTTTATTTTTTACTCCAACTAGTGCAGTCTCAATCGCGATCTTTGCTCGTTGTGACGCACTCCCGTCGCATTAGGGTTACTCCCTCTGTCGCCTACGCTCATCCCTCCCGTCGCGTAATCATATTCCCCCCCGTGGCCCACGCTCACTCCCCTCCCGTCGCCTTCGCTCTTTCCCCTCCATCGTCCCACGCTCACTCCCTCGCGTCGTCTTCGCTCATCCCCCCCCCCCCCGTCGCCCATGCTCACTCCCTACCGTCGTGTTCGCACACTCCCCTTCCGCCGCCCACGCTCACTCCCTCCCGCCGCGCTCGCTCACTCCCCTTCCGCCGCCCACGCGCACTCCGTCCCGTCGCGTTCGTCTACTCCCCTTCCACCGCCCACGCTCACTCCCCTCCCGTCGCGACAGTCCTCTCCGTCGCACACGCTCATTCCTCTCAAACGCCCATCTTCACTCCCCTCCGTCGCCCACGCTCACTCTCTCCCGTCGCCCACGCTCACTTCGACGGGAAGCACGCTCATTTTCCATCCGTCGCCCATGCTCACTGCCCGTACGTCGCACACGCTCACTCCCCTCTGTCGCCCACGCTCACCCTCCTCCCGTCGCCTTCGCTCACTCCCCTTCCGCCGCCCACGCTCGCTCCCTCCCGTCGCGTTCGGCCCCATCCGTCGCCCACGCTCACTCCCCTGCCGTCGCCCATCCGCCTCACCCCATCTCCGCCTCACCCCATCTCCTCCTCACCCCAGCTCCGTCCGCGCGCACTCCCTCCCGTCGCGCGCGACAACTTCCCTTCCGCCGCCCACGTTCTCTCCCTCCCGCCGCGTTCTCTCACTCCCCTCCTGTCGCGACGGTCCCCTCCGTCGCACACGCTCACTCCCCTTGAGGGGAGACCATCACTCACCCCCCTCGCTCGGCCACGCGATTTCCCTCTTGTCGCCCATGCTCATACCACCCCGCCGCGCACGCTCTCCCCCCATCCGTCGCCCACGCTCACTGCCCGTACTCCGCACACGCTCACTTCCCTCCGTCGCCCACGCTCACCCCCTGCCCCTCGCCTTCTCTCATTCCCCTCCGTCGCCTATGCTCCCTCCCCATCCCTTCCCTCCTCCCATCCCTTCCCTCCCCATCCCTTCCCTCCCCATCCCTTCCCTCCCCATCCCTTCCCTCCCCATCCCTTCCCTCCCCATCCCTTCCCTCCCCATCCCTTCCCTCCCCATCCCTTCCCTCCCCATCCCTTCCCTCCCCATCCCTTCCCTCCCCATCCCTTCCCTCTCCATCCCTCACCTCCCCATCCCTCACCTCCCCATCCCCGCCTCCCCATCCCTTCCCTCTCCATCCCTCACCTCCCCATCCCTCACCTCCGCACCCTCTCACTCCCCATCCCTCACCTCCCCGACACCGCCCTCCCCATCCCTTCCCTCTCCATCCCTAACCTCCCCATCCCTTCCCTCCCCATCCCTCACCTCCCCATCCCTCACCTCCCCATCCCTCACCTCTCCATCCCCCATCTCCCCATCCCTCACCTCCCAGTCTCTCATCTTACCATTCCTCTCTCTACCCATCCCTCACCTCCCCATCCCTCACCTCCCCATCCCTCACCTCCCCTCCCCCCCCCCCCCCCCCCCCCCATCCCTCCTCTCCCCATCCCTCCTCTCCCCATCCTCCTCTCCCCATCCTCCTCACCCCTCCTCCTCCTCTCCCCTCCCTCCTCCATCACCCCTCTCCTCCTCACCCCATCCCCTCTCCCCATCCCTCCTCATCCCCCCTCCCCGTCCCCTCCTCTCCCCGTCCCTCCTCCCCGTTCCCTCCTCTCCCCGTCCCCTCCTCTCCCCGTTCCCTCCTCTCCCCGTCCCCTCCTCTCCCCGTCCCTCCTCTCCCCTCCCTCCTCCTCATCCCCTCCTCTCCCCTCCCCCCTCTCCCCATCCCTCTCTCCCTCCCCTCCTCTCCCCATCCCCTCCTCTCCCCATCCCCTCCTCACCCCATCCCTTCATCTCCCCATCCCCTCCTCACCCCATCCCCTCCTCTCTCCATCCCCTCCTCCCATCCCCTCCCCCCTCCTCTTCTCATCCCCTCCTCTCCCTGCCCCCTCTTCTTCCCATCCCCTCGTCTCCCTGTCCCCTCCTCTTCTTATCCCTTCCTTCCCCCATCCCGTTGCCCCTTTCCTTCATGTCTCTTCACTTTGTTCCTCCCATCCTCCCATCCTCATTCCTCCCTGCCACCCTTTCTCCTCCCCTCTTTCCTCCCCAGCCTCTCTTCCTCCCCTCCCTTCTGCTTCTCTCCCCCACGTCCTCCCTACCTCCCTTCCCCCCAACCATCACTACCTCCCTTCCTTCATTCCTGCATTCCTCGCTTCCTCCCTTCCTCCGTTCCTCCCTTCATCATTTGTCAGTTGTCATTCTTTTGCATCAGCCACTTCAGCCAAGTCACATCTGACTTCCTGGTTTGTGTTTGTACAGGTCTGCTCTGCATCTGGTTGTGATGTGCTGGCTGTTTGATAGGAACACGACATATAGACATGCCATGTATCGGATCGTTTTTTATGATACCGCATTATGAGCTTCAGAGCAGTCATACACATGACCACCAAGGAGTGCAACAAATTATTTACTAGTACCGTACCTTTTGTACGGTAAAAGTGAGGGCAATCATTCAATTTTATAAAAGACCTAAGTTGGGGGGGGTGTAATGTTGCTTCCCGTTTTTTTCCGCTATACTGCAAGCAATAAAACCAGGCCGTGGTAAAGCCACAACATCTGGTGCTGGGCGCCTGTACCCTGCATTGGGGGATACAGGGGTGAGTGAAGGGGGAAAGACAGTAAATGGAATGAGCAGTAGGGAGGAGAAGAAGCAGCGGGGGACAGAGTGAGAAGGGGGGAAGAGAGGAAGCAGGGGGAAACAGAGTGAGCAGAAGTGAAGCGAGTGAGCAAGGGGGAAGAGAGTGAGAAGAGAAGGGGGGGAAGTGATTGAGCCGGCGAAACAGAATGAGGAAGGGGGGAGAGAGTGAGCAGGGGGGAAGAGAGTGAGCAAGGGGGAAGAGAATGACCATGGGAAAGGAAAATGAGCAGGGAGAAAGAAAATGAGCAGAGGGAAGGAGAATGGGCAAGGGGGAAAGAGAACGAGCAAGGGGGAAAGAGAACGAGCAAGGGGGAAAGAGAACGAGCAAGGGGGAAAGAGAACGAGCAAGGGGGAAAGAGAACGAGCAAGGGGGAAAGAGAACGAGCAATGGGGAAAGAGAACGAGCAAGGGGGAAAGAGAACGAGCAAGGGGTAAAGAGAACGAGCGAGGGGGAAAGAGAACGAGCGAGGGGGAAGAGAATGAGCAAGGGGGAAGAGAATGAGCAAGGGGGAAGAGAATGAGCAAGGGGGAAGAGAATGAGCAAGGGGGAAGAGAATGGGCAAGGGGGAAGAGAATGAGCAAGGGGGAAGAGAATGGGGATGGGCAACGGGAAAGGAAGCGAGGGCGAAGAAGAGGGGAAGCTCGAAGAAGAGTGAGCGGTGGGAATGAGAGCGAGCGGGGAGGAACGGGGTTGAGCAAAGGGAGAAAGAGAGCTGAAAGAGAGCCAGCATGGGGAAAGAGGGGTGAGAACAGGTGAAAAGAGAGTGAACAGGGGGGGCAGGAGTGTGTGAAGCGGCAGATGGGTCAAAACACAGCAACTGGCACCAGCGCCCTTCCCTCTCTCACACCCTCGCCCGTGGCCAGTGCATGTCTGAGAAGCTTCTCTTGCTCAGCCATGCGGGCCAGAGCAGCCTTGTCCGTGCTGCCCTCGCCGAACAGCGCCGCCACGCCTCCGCCGCTGCCTGGCGTGTGCTGATGGCATGCGCCTTGTGCACATCGAGATTGACCTTCTCCGCGTGCTCACATGCCACGTCCACCATCTTCGCCTGCCCCGTGGGGGGAAAGAGGGCGGGGAGTGGGGAGAGGAGGGAGAGAGCGGCAGGCAGGGATAGAAAGAGATAGAGGAGGGAGGGATCGACAGAAAGAAAGGGGAGAGGGTGAAGGGGTGATAGGAAAGGGGGGAGGGTACGCAGGGGGATGACGGAGGACATTCATGAAGGAAAGTGGGAGCAATCAGGGGGGGAAAGTGAGCGCAATCAGGGGGGGAAAGTGAGCGCAATCAGGGGGGGAAAGTGAGCGCAATCAGGGGGGGAAAGTGAGCGCAATCAGGGGGGGGAACTGAGCGCAATCAGGGGGGGGAACTGAGCGCAATCAGGGGGGGGAACTGAGTACAATCAGGGGGGGAACTGAGCGCAATCGGGGGGGAAACTGCGCGCAATCAGGGGGGGAAACTGAGCGCAATCTGGGGGGAAACTGAGCGTACGCAGGGGGGGGAAACTGTGCGCAATCAGGGGGATAAACTGAGCGAGAGAGGGGAATGGGCATGGGCGACGGAGAGAGGAAGAGAGGGCGAATAAGATGGGAATGAGGACGACGTCGACGCAGCAACAGGTGGGAGAGGAGAGGTCCACCGGGCGAGCGATGGGGAGGGGAAGCGAGGGCGACGGGCGGGGGAAGCGAAGGCGACGGGCGGGGGAAAGCGAGGTCGGCGGGCGGAGGAAGCGAGGGCGACGGGCGAGGCGAGGGTGGTAGGCGGGGAAAGCGAGAGCGACGACGGGGGGAGCGAGGGCGACGGGCGAGGGAAGCGAGGTCGACGGGATGGGAGAAGCGAGGGCGGGCGGAGGAAGCGAGGGCGACGGGCCGGGGGTGGCGAGGGCGACGGGCGAGGCGAGGGCGGTGGGCGGAGAGAGCAAGGGCGATAGTCGAGGGTCGCGAGGTCGGCAAAGTGCTAATTTCTCATCTCCTCACGCCCATTTTCTCCGTGCTTGACACTCGCATCTTGCGCCTGCGTTTCCCTTCGATTGCATATACGCGTAGCATCTACTACTTCAGGTTGTCTGAGATGTGTTCACTAAAAAACCCTAGCTGCTGTGCGATGGTCGGATTCCAAAAGTGAGTGGGGGAGTTGTTAGGGCGTGTAAAATCGCTGCACCTAAAAATTCGGCCACAAGCCGAATGGCCGAATTGGCGAAAGTAACCCGTTTGCGATTTCAACGAAATTGATGGCCGTTTTGTTTTCGCTAGCTCGCAACTTTCGCGATTCTTACAGACCTCACCCAAACCAAACCGAACCCAACCCGCACCTAGCGTTGACTCAAAAATGTAATTCAGGCTGCGGATTGACTCCCCGCTCTCACCGAAAGCAAATTGTCACAGAAGTGTGTTGTATCCCTGTCGATGAATGTGGCTAGGCTGATCAACCTCAACCATTGATCAATCGGCTTCTTGTATCGTCCCAGGAACCGCCTCCCAAGGCGAACGCGTATTGTCAGACAAGTGCGGATGCTAGTGCGGATGCTAGGCCGTAAGTAGCCCAAGCCGTAGACCTGCAGGCGCCCCCCCGTACTGTCCGTTTCCGCTCCTGCTCCGCGCATGTCCCGTTCAAGCGGCACATTTGAGAATCCTCAAAAGTCGCTCCTGCGACGCGCATGACCAGCGCAAGAGGCCGTCAGCAATGCCTGTAGATACGGATTGGCGCTCAAGAGTCCGTCACCCATGGCTGCTGTCGATAGGCATTGGCGGGTTCGTCGTGCTGCTGCTCGTGTGCGCGCCGCTGCTGCTCGAGCCGACTCGCCAGCTCACCATCATGCAGATACCGCCCGATCCCGGCGCGGCTGAATCCACACCGTTCAACCAGTTCCCGGAACCAGGATCCATGGCGCTTGCGTCTGAGCCGGAACCAGGGGCCCTCGCGACTGACATCGCCATCCCGCAGGTGCGTGCCGCTGCTCGTATCGATTCGCCCCCTACCTTTTAGGGTTCTCAAAAGTAACATCGAGAATTCTCAAAAGTCGCCCCGTACCTCAATCATCCTGCAGTACCAAGCCCGTACCTCAATCATCCTGCAGTACCAAGCCCGTACCTCAATCATCCTGCAGTACCAAGCCCGTACCTCAATCATCCTGCAGTACCAAGCCCGTACCTCAGTCATCCTGCAGTACCAAGCCCGTACCTCAATCATCCTGCAGTACCAAGCCCGTACCTCAATCATCCTGCAGTACCAAGCCCGTACGTCCATCATCCTGCAGTGCCAAGCCCGTACCTCAATATCCTGCAGTACCAAGCCCGTACCTCAATCATCCTGCAGTACCAAGCCCGTACCTCATTCATCCTGCAGTACCAAGCCCGTACCTCAATCATCCTGCAGTACCAAGCCCGTACGTCCATCATCCTGCAGTGCCAAGCCCGTACCTCCTGAACCCGCCACCTCCACACCGCTCAGCCCCAGATCCCGGGTTCAGGAGTGTTGGAGGTTGCCCTCGCGTCTGACATCGCCGCCCCGCAGGTGCGCCATGCAATGCAAAGCTCTCCCGCTTGTAATGCCACCTGTGCGCTGCTCATCTGTCATCGTCCTCGCGTTGCGCCCTGCCTGCTATTCGCCGCGCCCGGCTGCGTCTCAACTTGGCCGCCGACGCACCTTCGTGCGTCAATCGTTCCCTCTTGCGCGTTCCCTTGTGTTGCCGCTCGACTTGGCTGCTCGACTTTGGCCTCTGCTGGATCACTTTTTCCCATCCGATTTGCGTGCCAAGGTGCCGAACGTGCCAATCGTTTGCCGTTTCACCTGGCCGGCAGGCAGCTGCGAGTCGGATCTGAGCAGACCCGACAATCCCGAAGCGACTCTTGGATCGACCCAAAAGTCAACCTGGCGAGTTGGATCTTAGCAGACTATGCGTCAACTCAAAAGACGTTTGCCCTTGCACCTGGCAGGCAGGCAGCAGCGGGTCGGATCTGAGCAGACCCGACAATCGTGAGGCCAATCCCAAGGAACCGGCGCGACTACAATTCGATGCGTCTCAACACGTCTGCTGGTCCTCAGGTACACGCTCCCCCTTCAGGCCTTCAGGTACACCCTCCCCCCTCAGGCTCTCAGGTTGTACTACTCCTGCCCCCGCTGCTTTTGGACCCCGCTGCTCGCTCCCCTCTTCCCGCTGCTCCCTCCCCCTGCTGCTCCGTCCCAACGCTGCTCCTCCCCTCCCCTGCGAGAAACCGCAAGGCGAGGCAGCGAGGAGAGGCAGGAGGAGCGGCGGCGGCTGCGGCAGCAGCAGCAGCAGCAGCAGCATCACCACTACGGGGAGTAGTGGCAGCAGCGTTGCGATGGGCAGGGGCAGTTGGGAGAGAGGTGGTAAGTGTATTCTCTCCAGTGTGCCCCCCACCACTCACCCCCAATTTGCCTCAGATGCCCTGGTCAGCCCCACCACACGAGCAGCAGCAGCAGCAGAAGGAGGGGGAGTGGCAGCAGCAGGTGCCCCCTTGGTGGTTCCCAGGGGAATTGCGTAGAGCAGAGCAGAGGCAGGCGCAGTTGAGGTGCTAAGAGTACCCACTCTGATGTGACGGTGTGACCCCCAACTCCTCAACCCCAATCATTTGCAGATGCTCTGGCCGGACACACCACACCAGGAGGAGAAGCAACTGCAGCAGCCCCCTCAGAAGCCGCAGCAGCCCCAGCAGCCCCCTCAGAAGCCGCAGCAGCCCCAGCAGCAGCAGCAGCAGCAGCAGCAGCAGCAGCAGCAGCAGCGGCGGCAGCAGGAAGGGGAGTGGTGGTGGGCGGCAGGGGATGCAGTGGGTGCGTGCGGGGGGTGGAGTGCAGCATTCACGTGTGGGTCTTGCCGCCTGCTTATTGGGTCTCGCCCTTGGGGACCAATCGGAGTGACGGGGGTAGCATGGGTGGCAACAGTGACAGCAGCAATGACAGCAGCAGCAGCAGAAGCAGCAGCAGCAGCAGCAATGACAGCAGCAGCAATGAGAGCAGTTGGTTGAAGGACGACCTGACTCTCACTCTGGAGGGCCCGGCGTTGGGCAGTGGGGACGTGCAGTGCACCGACCCCCCTGCCTGCTCGCACTTCTCCATCTCCTACCGCCTCTGGGACGTGGGGACCTACAGGTACATGGGAGGGCGCAGAAGTGGGGACCTACAGGTACATGGGAGGGCGCAGAAGTGGGGACCTACAGGTACATGGGAGGGCGCAGAAGTGGGGACCTACAGGTACATGGGAGGGCGCAGAAGTGGGGACCTACAGGTACATGGGAGGGCGCAGAAGTGGGGACCTACAGGTACATGGGAGGGCGCAGAAGTGGGGACTTACAGGTACGCTCGCTGCACGTGGGGATTATTGAGGAGACTTTTGAGTCGACTCAAAAGTCACTACACTGCACGTGAAGGGTTATAGGCACGTGGAAGGGCGCTGCGCTGATTAGCCCCTCAAAACTAGAGTGGGGAGAGAGTGGGGAGTTGGGAGCAGGAATGGGGAGTTGGGAGCAGGAGTGGGGAGTTACAGGTTTGGGAAGGGCGCAGCATAAGGACGTGGGTCCCTCCTACAGCACAGGGACGTGGGTCCCTCCTACAGCACAGGGACGTGGGTCCCTCCTACAGCACATGGACGTGGGTCCCTCCTACAGCACAGGGACGTGGGTCCCTCCTACAGCACAGGGACGTGGGTCCCTCCTACAGCACAGGGACGTCGGTCCCTCCTACAGCACAGGGACGTGGGTCCCTCCTACAGCACAGGGATGTGGGTCCCTCCTTCAGCACAGGGACGTGGGTCCCTCCTACAGCACAGGGACGTGGGTCCCTCCTACAGCACAGGGACGTGGGTCCCTCCTACAGCACAGGGACGTGGGTCCCTCCTACAGCACAGGGACGTGGGTCCCTCCTACAGCACAGGGACGTGGGTCCCTCCTACAGGACAGTGGTGCTCATTTCCCCAGTCACTCTTGCACGCTGCTCTCCCCCTCCGTTTTCCTGCTCACTACAGTCTTTCCACCATCCCCTCATTTCAAACCCCTCATTTCAAACCCCTCCTTTCAACCCCCTCCTTTCAACCCCCTCCTTTCAACCCCCTCCTTTCAACCCCCTCTCTTCAACCCCCTCTCTTCAACCCCACCTTCTCCCCCTCCACACCACCAAGGCAACGGTGCATGCGGGCTGTCACAGTGTTGATTAACTGTTGAGAATTCTCACAAGTGAATGTAACGCCACGCGGGGAAAACCTGCATGCGGGTTGTCGCAGTCTCGATTCCTCTCTTCCCTTCTCCTCTCTTCCCTTCTCCTCTCCTCTCTTCCCTTCTCCTCTCTTCCCTTCTCCTCTCCTCTCTTCCCTTCTCCTCTCCTCTCTTCCCTTCTTCTCTCTGTCCTTCTCCTCTCTGTCCTTCTCCTCTCTTCCCTTCTCTCCTTTGACACATGTGTCACTGTCACCTTCCATGTTCACTGTGGTACTGGAAATGGTCCCAGTCAACATGCTGTGTCTGAGTCAGTGTCCCACCAATCCAACCATTTCCACTCCCCTCATGGCCTTTCCCACCCTTTCCCACGCACCTCGTCACTGTCTCTCTTCCATTCTTTCCCACGCACCTCGTCACTGTCTCTCTTCCATCCTTTCCCACGCACCTCGTCACTGTCTCTCTTCCATCCTTTCCCACGCACCTCGTCACTGTCTCTCTTCCATCCTTTCCCACGCACCTCGTCACTGTCTCTCTTCCATCCTTTCCCACGCACCTCGTCACTGTCTCTCTTCCATCCTTTCCCACGCACCTCGTCACTGTCTCTCTTCCATCCTTTCCCACGCACCTCGTCACTGTCTCTCTTCCATCCTTTCCCACGCACCTCGTCACTGTCTCTCTTCCATCCTTTCCACCCCATTGCAGTGCCACTCTCTCTGTGGGTTGTGCTAATCTCGAGTTCTCTCCTGAATTCGCCGCCCATTTCAGCTCCACCATCCGCCATGACCTCGCCACGTGGAGCCTCGTCATTGGCTCGCCGAAGCAATCATCTCAGCCTGGCATTCCTGCCTCTGCAAGAGCTCCTGGTGCCACTAGTAACGAGGCTAGAGATGCTCCTGGTGCCACTAGTAACGAGGCTAGAGATGCCAGAAATTTCATATCAGCAAATGCCGCCTCTCTAGATACCGCATCCTCAAACACCACCTCCTTAAATACCGCCTCCTCACATACCACCTCCCTAGATACCGCCTCGCCAAATACCACCTCCCCTGATACCACCACCCTCAGCCCAGCCACGCCGTGTGCACCGGGCTCCATCCCCGGGCGCTGGAAGAGGGGATTCACAGGCAGCTACTAGTGAGTGGCCTCTTTCAACCCGCCTTGCCTCGCAGTGAGTGAGTGTCACCAACCCAGTGTGCCTTTTGAGGCGCCTCAAAAGTCGCCTCTCTACACACAAATTTCGAGGCGCCTTATAAGACAGGTATAAGTGAGTGGCCTCATCCAACCTGGCTTGGCTCACAATGCGTGATGAATGTCACAAACCAAACCCATTGTGCCACTCAAGTCGATTGACATCATCACTTCCCTGTCTGGGATTCCCATGCCTGAGCCTCAACATCCTCCTCCTTGTGTCCTCCTCTTGTCCTCCTCTTGTCCTCCTCTTGTCCTCCTCTTGTCCTCCTCTTGTCCTCCTCTTGTCCTCCTCTTGTCCTCCTCTTGTCCTCCTCTTGTCCTCCTCTTGTCCTCCTCTTGTCCTCCTCTTGTCCTCCTCTTGTCCTCCTCTTGTCACATGCTTCTCTCCCTCCTCATCTCTTTGTTCATCTCGCCTCCACTCCTCTCCTCCACCTCCCACCAACCCCCTCCCTTCCAGCTGGACTTTCTTCCCCTGTGCGCCATCCGAAACGCCTCCCAGCCGTTGGATCTCGGATCTACGGCGCAAGGGCATTCAAGAAATCAACATGGTGGGCAACTCGCACCAGAGGGTGCTGGCGAACCACCTGCACTTCCTGCTCTCTGGCCACGTGGACGCCAGGCTGTTCTTTGCGCACGCCAGCCACACCCTTGTGGCGAGCAACGCAAGGGGGGAGACGCTGAGGATCAACTTCTATTGGATTGACGGGATCTACCGCAATGGAGAGTTCGGATGCACGTGAGTGCCGCTTCTGCCTGGCCCCTCACCCCAACCCCCCAGCTCCCCTCCCTCCCTCCCTTGCACGCTCTCTGCTCCTAACGCTGATATCAACTTCTATTGGGTTGACGGGATCTACCGCAATGGGGAGTCCGGATGCACGTGGGTGCCGCTTCCAGGCCCCCTTCTTTCCCCCCCTTCTGCCTGCCCACCCCTCTTCCCCCCTTATCTGCACCTAACCCTGAGGATCAAGTTTGAATGCACGTGCGTGCTCCTGCCCGCCCCCCCTCCCTCCACTCTCTGCTCCTATATCTGAGAATCGGCTTCTATTATGGGGAGGGGATGGGATGGAATCTACCGAAATGGGGAGTTTGGACGAAGGTGCGTGTGGCCGGGCTTGAGTTTTGAGGTGTCTCAGAGTTTGACTTTTGAGGCGCCTCTATTTTTTTAGACGACTTTGGAGGCGCCTCCAAGGTGCGTGTGGCCGGGCTTGAGTTTTGAGGTGTCTCAGAGTTTGACTTTTGAGGCGCCTCTAATTTTTTAGACGACTTTGGAGGTGCCTCCAAGGTGCGTGTGGCCGGGCTTGAGTTTTGAGGTGTCTCAGAGTTTGACTTTTGAGGCGCCTCTATTTTTTTAGACGACTTTGGAGGCGCCTCCAAGGTGCGTGCGGCCGGGCTTGAGTTTTGAGGTGTCTCAGAGTTCGGGTGCACATGTGTGCGTGTGACCGAGCTTGTGTTGGGTGCAAATGTGTGCGAGTGACCGAGCTTGTGTTGCGTGCACATGTGTGCGTGTGACCGAGCTTGTGTTGGGTGCACATGTGTGCGTGTGACCGAGCTTGTGTTGGGTGCAAATGTGTGCGTGTGACCGAGCTTGTGTTGGGTGCACATGTGTGCGTGTGACCGAGCTTGTGTTGGGTGCAAATGTGTGAGTGGTTTCTAGAGCAATCAGGGGTGTGTAGCTGTGCGGCTGTTGGGGTGCTAATGTGTGTGTTACATCTGGATCAATGAAGAGTGTACGTGTTGGAGTGTGTGTTGGTGTCCGTCTGTGCTGTGTGTGTGTGTGTGTGTGTGTGTGTGTGTGTGTGTGTGTGTGTGTGTGCATGTGAGCTTGGGCGTGTGAGCATGGGCGTGTGTACATGGGCTGCTTTCTTCCACATGCGACTGTTTGGCCGCGTGGACGAGATTAGGTATGAACGAGTTTACATGCGTCTTGCTGTGTGTATGTATGGGTGCATGTGCGTGCGTGCCTGTGTGTGGATGTGTCAGAGTGGGTGCTGTGTGTGGGTGCATGTTGTTAGATTATACTACTCTTTTGTATCCTGCATTGATCCTATAAACTCTAGGATAGAGATAAGCACCCAAACTATGTTTGGGTGCACAAACTAGGGTTAACCCTAGTTGGGGGTTGGAACCCAACCTTGGCCCAATTATTGGCCCCCAAGGTTTTGTTGGGAGATTATTGGCCCCCCCAATAATGTTGGCTCACTTTGGCCAACATTATTGGGACCCCCCAATAATTCTCCAACCCAACTTATTGGTGGGGGGCCAATAATGTTGGCTAGGTGCCCAACCAACCCACCTTCCCTAGCTTCAACTGTGTAAGCCCTCTTGATTCCTAATCAACTTAACGGTTCAATTCTAACATGCTATCAGAGCTCTTACGGCCAACGCCGCTCAAGATCCTATGACCCCTCGCGCCACTTAGCGCATCTCTCGCACCACTCAGCGCATCTCTCGCGCCACTTAGCGCATCTCTCGCCGGCTCTGCCGCGCCTCTCGCGCCACTGAGCGCACCTCTCGCCGGCTCTGCCGCGTCCCTCGCGCCACTTAGCGCACCTCCCGCCGGCTCTCCCGCCCCCCCCTCGCGCCATCCCGACGCTCCTCTCCTTGTCTCGACCGTCCGCCGCGACGAACGCGACCGTCAGCCGCGGACGCGACGAACGCGACCGTCAGCCGCGGACGCGACGAACGCGACCGTCAGCCGCGGACGCGACGAACGCGACCGTCAGCCGCGGACGCGACGAACGCGACCGTCAGCCGCGGACGCGACGAACGCGACCGTCAGCCGCGGACGCGACGAACGCGACCGTCAGCCGCGGACGCGACGAACGCGACCGTCAGCCGCGGACGCGACGAACGCGACCGTCAGCCGCAGACGCGACGAACGCGACCGTCAGCCGCGGACGCGACCATCAGCCTCGTTCGTCGTGAACGTCGCGGACTCGCCGCCGACGGGCAGCACGGACGCGACATCCGCGCCGATGGGCAGCGCGGACGCGACATCCGCGCCAACGGGCAGCGCGGACGCGACATCCGCGCCGACGGGCAGCGCGGACGCGACATCCGCGCCGACGGGCAGCGCGGACGCGACATCCGCGCCGACGGGCAGCGCGGACGCGACATCCGCGCCGACGGGCAGCGCGGACGCGACATCCGCGCCGACGGGCAGCGCGGACGCGACATCCGCGCCGACGGGCAGCGCGGACGCGACATCCGCGCCGACGGGCAGCGCGGACGCGACATCCGCGCCGACGGGCAGCACGGACGCGACATCCGCGCCGACGGGCAGCGCGGACGCGACATCCGCGCCGATGGGCAGCGCGGACGCGACATCCGCGGACAGCCACCGCTGACGGGAGGAACGCGCGCAGCCGCCGCTGACGGGACGACCGCGAGCAGCCGCCGCGGACGGGACGAACGCGGCCAGCCGCTAACGCGACTAGCCAGGGGAGTAACCGGCTGCAGACAGCACGCAGCCCGTCCCCGCTACCGACCACGCCGTCCCTCCGGATAGTGTCGTCGCCTCTCGCACCTCCACCCTCTCCTCCTCCTCCCCCCCCCTCCCTCACTCATCATGGCGGACGAACCTTCGTCGCTTGAGCTCGCCTCGATCGACAAACTCGAGCTTCTCAACGGCACCACAGCAGTCAATTGGGTGTCGTTTGAGGAGAGCCTCTTCACCTACCTTGGCTCCGTTCGAGTGGGAGATTACTGCCTCCTTGACATCGTCCTTGAAACGCCTCACGGCCTCCCTCCCACCCCGCCCCCACTCCCAGGCTCCTCCCCCCCTGACGCCCCACCACTCCCGACCGAACCCGCCCCCTGACTCAGACAGGTGGGCGCGCACCCTCAACAAGTACAACAAGGAGCGGGACGATTATGTGATCAAGAGCAGAGCACACGCGGCTGCCGTCGCCGCTCACGAAGCTGCTACTGCAAAGCTTGCAGAGTTCAAAGCCATCTCCGAAGCGTACTCTACTAACCTTCGTAAGCACCACACGGACACTGCTGCATGGCGCATTGCTGACCGCCGTGCACTTACTGTCATCTTTTCGTGCATTCCCTCCTCACTCAATCGTGACCTTCGCCCTCCATCCTCCCCCTCTCTCTGGAAGTCTCTCTCCTCCCAATATGATCGTCAGGACTTACGCTCCCTCCTCTCCCTCTTTCGCACCTTCCAAGATATCACCCTTGACTCCTCCCTCAATGCCGCCTCCTTCACTCGGCGTCTCACGGACACTGCGCAACGCCTCATCTTGATCTCAGACACCCTCCTCACAGCTCGCATCCTTGACTGCCTCCCACCCACCTATGACACCTACCGCATCAACTTCACTTCCCAGCACATTCGTCCTCCTCCTGTGGCTGTTACCATCGACTGGCTCCTTGACAGTGAGGATGACCTCCTGCGTCACTCTGCAACGGTCAATGCTGTCCACGCTCGCAAAGGAACCAATACCACTGGCGGAAGCAGCAGCAGCGGACCTGGACGTGGTTCAAACGGAGGCGGTCGAGGAGGCGGTCGCGGAGGCGGGCGAGGAGGACGCACTGGGGAACGAGGCGGCCGTGGAGCAACTACTCCATCCACAGGAGGGTTCCCCCCGTGCCAGTACGTCATTCGTCAAGGCCCCAACAAAGGTCAGACCTGCAACTAGACTACTCATCCCACTGACACGTGCTTCAAAGCCCTCACTGATGAATGGCTTGCACGCGGCAACACAGGTCCCCCTCCACGTTGGAACACTATCACCCCTCGCCCCACCCCTCATGATATTCGCACTCTCTCTGCCTATGCACCCTCTCCACCTAACCTCCATAATGTCCTCGCCCAGCACCTCTCCCCTCACGTTCTCCAACAAGTCCAACACCTCCTCCCTACGCCCACCACCACCTCCACGCCCCCCACCCTCACCCCTTCGCCTCCACCCACCCTCGCACCTCAAACCCCTCCCTCCCCCTATCCTCCTCTCTCCCCCTACCCTCCTCCTTACGCTGGCTGGCCCTACCCTCCGTACCCCCCATCTGTGTATGGTCATGGAACTGCTGCAACTGCTGCATCTGCTGCAACTGCTGCAACTGTTGAACAGACCCCCTCCTCTCCTCACCCCCCCGGCTTCACACCGTTTCCTTCTATAGGCTTCATAGGCCATATCTCCGCTACTAGCATTAATGATGATCCTATGTATGCCAATGTTAGTAATGAGTCCGCATTCCAGTACTCCGTGTCCTCCTCCTCCTCCCAGCCCCTTGAATTCATACTTGACAGCGGAGCCACACACACGGTCCTTCGTGACGCAGGCACGCTCCTCCCCCTCTCTACTCCCTCCGCAATACTTGGGGCTGACTCAAGCTTTGCAATACAAAGCCGCTACACCTCCACACTCCCCTGTCCCCTCTTTCCCTCAGGTATCGTCACAGGTCTCTATATCCCCTCCCTTCGTAACAACCTGGTATCCCTTGGTGCCCTCTCAGCGGCAGGTGTCACCGCCATATTCCCTGGTCACGCAGCATATTGTGACTTATTTCACACCTCCTCCGGTCGCTTCCTCTGCCGTGTCCATCGGTGCCCCTCCACCCACATGTACACCTTCCGCATCCCCCGTCCCACCCTTCACCAACTCTCCACATCTCATTCCCCCGCCCCTTCCCCCCCTCTCGAACCCCCTCCTCCCCCTCCCCCTCCGCCTCCCCCTCCCCCCCCCCCGCCCCTTCCCCTCCCCCCCCTACTCCCCCCGCCCATCC